GGGGGGGGGGGCACACAAGTTGTCTAGATTAAATTTCTGCTCGATGCAGCTTCACTTCAAAGGCAGATTGCTATATTGTATTGTTCGATCTAATACCAGACTTATACGAATGAGATTCTATTCATATCTCATTTCTCCAAGTCCCACGGTTTAAAATCGCCAGTTCCCATTACCGGACAGTAAGCTAACGTGACTTCTATTGTTCAACATACAATGGAGTGTATTTAAAAAAAACGTTCATTCGGAGAATCTTCTGTTAGACTCATCCTTGAGAAAACCAGCCAACCGCTCCGCTCACAAACGCATTGCACTCGTCTTTGTCGAAAACTACTCCTCGTCCAGCTGTCTTTTTAGTTAATTTTTCACGAAATCCATTTCACCAATCAGTAAGTGTTTCAGTGAACTAACCTCCATAAACTAATTGTCTATTATTTTCACGTATTCTGGGACTGTCGTGTGTCACTTTCACTAGTGCTGACAGGACCACATTCCTCTGTTTCTCATGTGTGGACGCATCCTTTTCTCACTCTCACTCTCTCTCTCTCTCTTACCTGTCTGACTATTTTATAAGCCGAAATTATTTTGTCCATTCTCGTAGGAAAACATCCTCCCTCTCAACATTGGTCGTCCCCCATGGAGCCATACATGTGTCCTTTCTCTTTTTTCTCAATAAATACATTTTCCAAATCAACGAACACTGCCTCTCCCCCATCTGAACGGCACAAACATACAGCTTGCTATTCTGCAGTGGCCACATTGTCACTCAACTTGTGTGTATGTGAACTCTTCAAAAACATACTGAAGTACTACTATTTTCTCTTTCGTGATGAAAATGTTTGTGATAGCCAACAAAAAGCACCGGGGACAGCTGTTTCCTTTCCTATTTGAGACTCGTCAGCAATGCGTGTACATTTTGTGTCCCCGTGTCAGGACTCGAACCGTGATCAGTCGGGTTGGGACTTCTAACCCTTACCCTCGCGGGCTACACAATTGTGGGTTTCATTCCTTGGGAGATCGTTAACTGCCCACAAGGTAGATGCATTTAATTTTTCGATGGAAATGTTTAAGTTAACCATCAAGAGTGCCCAGTGCGCCTGAACAATCAAATGGGTTAATCCAAGCTTGGTCCTGTTCTTTTGTTTACATAAGCAACAAACTATTTGTTAGTTTTTACTATATGGACCTCAGACTGCGATCGAACATGAGGCAAAAAATACCAACTATACATTCATGAGGTCACGTGACTGTTTCATTTTTTATTATATTTTTAAGCCCTATCAGTAGAAGTTCATATCTGTAAACGTCTCATACTAGCTTGGGTCTTATCACATTGGTTAAAAACACACCTCTCCAGTGTTGTTCCTCAGATAAAACCATCCAAATACCTTCCAGCTTTCAGATCCAAATTTGGAACGGATCGAACGGTTGGATTAGCCACAACGAGAAAGTTTTTAGCGTCTCATTGTGGCCAATCCAAACATTCCTTTACAGATCTAAACTTTCAGTTGTCTCAATAATCATTCTTAGTTTTTGCGATGAATTTTTTCGTGCGAATGTGGCCTGAGCTGCGAAGCACTGGGCGGCTGTTTCGACCTAGTCAGGTCTCATCAGCTGT